ACATCATAGTTTTGGCGCTGTTGCCGGGGATCAAATGGTTTTTTAAAGAATTGAATTAGACATTAGTTCTTTGTTGATTATTTACTTTAAAGTCATTTTTATTTTTATTTTCTCAATTGATTTGTCAATTAGGTACTTGAAACAAAGTGAAGCAAATGCTAGACTTAGAAGCAATTAAAAAAAAAAATTTGAAGTTGCTTAAGGACTATTTGTAAGTTTCTCTTTAATTTTTGTGCTTAATTGTTTACTGTCTTGCATGCTTTGGACAACCCAAGTGGAGGCTTAATTTGAATTATTTTATTTTTAAGTCCAAGCATACCTTCTTATAGAAGGCATCGGCCCATGTAGAGGCTTTTATTTGTTTTAAGTGCATTGATATTATTGAGGAGTTTGGGAGCATCGTATATGGAGGTTGAAATTTTGAAGTGTTGGTGTGTTGACTTATTCTAGTGCATGCATGGTCGTAGATCACTTAATCATCTTATTGCTCCTATAAATCAAAATCTCAAAGTTTCTCTTCGGCGTTTAAGACGTAGTACCAGGGATAGTCATCCTAATCTTCAAAATTTTGATCTTCCATCACCTTTAATGGAAGACCCAATAGATCTAATTGAAGATCCCATTATAGATCTTGGTCATATGGATTATAATGGTGTGCACCACCCACCACAAATTCATATTGTAGATCCTCAAGCTGTGCATCCACCCTTGGGAATGCCACGACTAATCAATCCTGTTGTGTAACAACCTAATCTAGGGATGCCAAGGCCAAATGTTGTTTCCCCAATTGGTGAGCAATAACAACAATATGTTCAAATGGCATACCCTCAACAAGGTCAAATGGCATATCATCAGCAAGGTCAAATGCCATATCCTCCTCTCAATCCTCTTAATCCTCCAATGGTCCTTACGGATCGTTACACTCCAAATCAATATAATGCACCCACTTGCATTCAATTACCAAATTTTCGTGTTCATCATTATGAGATTAAGGATTCCACCATTAACATGTGCCCCCTTTTTTATGGGTTGAGCAATGAAGAGCCTTATAAACATTTAGATGAATTCTTGGAAGTTTGTTCCACCGTGAAAATCAAGGATGTTTCGGAAGAAGCCCTTAAAATGAAGCTTTTCCCTTTCACTCTTCGGGATAAAGCTAAATATTGGTTTAATAACTTGCGGTCAAATACAATCACCTCTTGGGCACAATTGCAACAAGAGTTCTTAAAAAAGTACTATCCCACGAGTCGAACCGATTCAATGAGAACTTCCATTCGTGAATTTAAACAAGAGGAATGAGAACCCCTTCATAAAGCATCGGAACGTTTAAATGACTTGCTACGGAAGTGTCCACATCATGACATTCCTAAGTGGCAATTAGTTCAATGTTTCTTTTCAAGTTTATCCGATACTAATAAGGGCATTGTTGATGCTTCCTGTGGCGGAAGCTACATAGAAAGAAATAAAGATGAAATTTAGCATCTCTTTGAAAAAATGAGTGAAAACTTAATGCACAGATCTTCATTTTCTAGGGGTGGTCACCTAACAAATGTGGGAGGAAAGAAAGCTCTAAATCAAATGGACTCTTCCATGGAAATTGCCACCGAGGTCAAAAATCTAACTCAAAGGTTTGATAAATTCCTTTTGAATCAAGGTCCAGCAATTCAGTCTTATCCTCACCATTCCGATGAAATGTGCATGACTTTTTCTAGTTACACTCACCATACTTCGAATTGCCCTCTTAGACAAATCATACCAAGTGAGTCTCAAGAACATGCAAATGCAGCTTTCATTCATCAAGGGAATAACCTTTATTCCAATACTTAAAATCCGGGGTGGAAAAATTATCCAAACTTTGCATGGAGAAATCAAGGAAACGGTTAAAACCCTCCTCAAACTCAAGGTTACCAAGCAAAGTATGTTCCCCCACATCTGCAAAATCAAAATCAAAATTCTCAAGGTTACCGTCCTTCATTCTATCCTCACAATGTGAATCAATACTCTCATCCTCAAGCATCAAATTCTCAATCTTACTCTAATCCAAATCAATTGCCTCCTAAGAGTCTCACTTTTGAGGACAAGGTTGACGAGTGTAGAATTATGGATTCTGTCGTTGTTTTTCTACACTTCGTGCAAAAATAAGAAAAACTTGCAAAAACTAAATTAAAGATGGTATAGAATAAGCAGGGTCGAACCATACAAGATTTAAACTCGTAAATCAAAATTAAAACCAAAATTTAAGGAAGAATAACTTTTAAAACAATTTAAATATTTTTTTTACTAATGAACTAAAAATAAAATAAATAAATAAGATGAAATAAATTCTAATCAAATACTAAGAAAAATCTCAAGGAAAGAATCCACCACCACAGCTTACTATAAATAAATCTGTATATTTTCTCTTTATGTAAATTTTCCTATTGTAAGCAAATCACTCCACCAGTCCAATTACAACTTGGAAAGATGAAGGAAAATAATAGCGTGAAATAATAATTGCTTGAGAACATATTTTACTTAATCTGATATATCTTTGGGAAATAAAAATAGGCATTCTCCGAATTACCATTAATTAGCAAACACGAAGAATCCTCTTTCTAATTTTTTATCAAAATAAGAATACAGAATAGAAGAGTAAAATAATGCTCTAAAGAGAAAATTTTATAAAAGAATTAAACTAAATTTACTTATATTTCAGCCATGGTGGCTTCATCACTCCCTTGAGAAGGGATGTTTAAGCTAGCATAATAAGAAAACAAAATAAAGAAATAAAAATAATCTTCATAACAAAAATTATAAGAAATAATTTGAAGACAAAAATTCTCTAACTTTTATTATTTTATCTCACTAACAATGTATATCCCACCTCCTCTACACATGTCTCTATTTATAGAGTTTAGAATGGAACAATCGGGAGGAGAAAATTTTAATTACAGAAGTGAAAATAAAATAAAATAAAATCTTCCTAAAATCTTCCCAAAATCTTACTGCTTTCCAATTTGGCTTGATCTTTGACTTGACGTGCTTTCCAATCTATCTTGATATATTTTCCAATTTGGCTTGATCTTTGCTGATTTAATGGAAAAGGCAATTTCTTAATTTGACTTTGATTGATCGTATAATCCCACATTTCTGCTATTTTTGTCTCTTTTCTTCTTATTCTGAAATCAGCCCCTATAAAACATGAAAAACAAATATAAGCATATTTATTTAATGAAAAATATTAATTAATCATTTATTATTACGTATAAAATAACAAGTTTTGTGCACTTGTCAAATTACCCCCAAACAAGCTTTTGCTAGTCCTCTAGCAATTAAAGGCAAAAACAGACAAGTTTACAAAATTATTACTTTAACTGACTTCTAACTAAAAATATGCCACTTTCACAGGCTACTTTCGATTGCATTTACCATATGCAATAAGGCCTTAAACCCCTAGGTTACCCTAGTGGACGAGTTATAGCCTTGTGAGGGTTTCCAGAGATGATACCCACAAACATCCAAAATTGTGCACACTTTGCACTTAGCTCAATTACTTCCATGAAATCAGAAACGATTGCATACACATCATCATCAAGTTAGCTATTATGTCAAGTATAAAAAAAATTAATATTCTTAAGCAATCACAAACCTCTAATTACATGCAATAATACTAAAGTCCCCACACAAAGTTCAATTCAACATATTTCCAATAACAATCAATCCCTAGTTTCCTTTTGAAGTGAACTAGTATCTAATTATGTGTTTTACCCTTTTGTCCTTATATTACACATCACAATAGCTTCAACTCATTAATATTCCCTTCCAAGTTAGAGTATCCAAGGCATGAATTCATGACTTTACTTATGCATGCGAATTTTTCATCTTTCTTTCTTCCATCTTTTTTTTTTTTTTTTTTTTTTTTTTTTTCTTTGAAGATAGCAAGTTGTGCAATGTTTAAGTCCCTTAAGCTTTCTAGATGACCTATGTAATGAACTTTAGGCTAATGACTCCCAACCAGACGGTTTTAGGGCATTAGGTGTAAAGACACCCCAAAGAGCTTATTAACTCAAGTCAACTAGGTTTCGAACCTAAACCAACACATTCATTTTTTCCTAACCCTCCACTTTTTGACGCGAACACTCACTGCTTACTGAGGCAAAAGGCCCGATTACTTCGTGAAAGGTATTAACTAATTATGCATATTTCTCTATCATCATGCTAAGGACATCTACTTTTCAAGGTCTACTAACTCGTATCCAACACATGTAATATATCACATAAGGTTAGGCCTATATCCCACAAAAAGATGCTAGTGTGCATCTATGAGAAGTGAAGTGCACTAGGGACTAATTATCATTAACAATAGTCAAACTGGACAATGATGTGAACCACATATACCAAAACATGAATTAAAGATTCAAAACTGCCCTGAAATACCAATTCCTAATCATACATGAACAATAATTCACCCAAATTGGACATAACATGCAATTCAACTTATAATTTCCATAGAAGCAAGAGCATTGCCCCACCCCTAAACAAAATACAACACTGTCCCTAGTGTTGGCACCAAAGAATAGGGAAATTAAATGGACAAGTATAGGTGGAGACATATAGGGAAACATTAGAACATATTTACCTCACTGGTTTTGATGTGGAGTACAATTTCTGCAAAAGAGGTTATGGAAAACAATCGAAAACTATATCAGATAAATATAGCACCTCCAAACAAAATATAACCATATTCAAATACTAACCAGTTACGGAGCTAACGAGTAGGAGTGAGATACAACTGGTTAAGACTCGAAAATCAATCCAAGGTAACTGAATAGACACAACCGGCTGGGTTACCTCCCAGGAGCGCTAAGTTTAACGTTGTCAGCCAGACGCAATGGGGGAAGTTCCCCCCAAAAGAGATTAGTCCGAATAGACCGGATCGACGAGGAAAATTTCCTCAATAACATGAGCCTCAAACTTAAGGCACCATGACTAGCAACATGGTGTACATAATATGGACCAGACTATGGTGACCTCAACTTCTCAGGAAACAATACAAGATGAGAGTTATACAAAAGAACCTTTTGGCCTTGGAAAAACTCCTGTCTTAAAATTTGTTTGTCATGTTCCAATTTAGTCTTAGCTTTATAAATCCTCGAACTCTCATAGGCATCATTTCTGAGTTCTTCCAACTTATTAAGTTGAAGTGTCCTACGCTCACCGGCTTGATCATAATCAAAGTTCATGGCTTTGATGGCCCAATAAGCACAATGTTCCAGTTCGACAGGCAAGTAACAGGCTTTACCATAGACCAATCGGTATGGAGACATTCCTATAGGGGTCTTATAAGCAGTACGATAGGCCCATAAAGCATCATGAAGGCGGAGACTTCAATCCTTTCTTGTGGATTTAACCGTTTTCTCTAAGATATGCTTGATCTCCCTATTGGATACCTCAGCCTGACCATTGGTTTGTGGGTGGTAAGATAGGGCTACTTTATGGGTGATCCCATATTTAGACATTAAGCTAGCAAAGACTTTGTTGCAGAAATGTGAACCATTATCACTGATTATGGCTCGAAGTGTACCGAAGCAAGACAAAATTAAGTCTTTCAAGAATTTCACCACAACCCTATGGTCAGCTGTCTTGGTGGCTAAGGCTTCTACCCATTTGGACACATAATCAACGGCCAGAAGGATGTAGGTATACCCATATGAAGAGATAAAGGGTCCTATGAAGTCAATACCCCAAACATGAAAGATTTCAACCACTAGTATGGATTGTTGGGGCCATTCATTCCTTTTGGTAATCTTACCTAAGAGTTAGCATCTAGGGCATGCTACACAGTAGGTATGGGTGTCCTTAAAAAGGGTGGGCCAATAAAAGCCTAATTGTAAGATTTTTGTAGCGGTCCGTTTAGAGCTAAAATGGCCACCGCAGGCCTGATCAAGACATAATGAAATGATGGACTCTTGGTCTACCTTAGGACACACTTATGGATGATTTGATCTTGACAATACTTAAACAGGTAAGGGTTATCCCAAAAGTATTCCTTTACCTTAGCTAGGAATTTGTCTCTTTCTTGCTTGGACCAGGTAGATGGGGTTTAACTCGTGACAATGTAATTGACAATATCGGCATACCATGGTGCAAAAGATACCGCAAAAAGTTGCTCATCAAGGAAATAATCAGAGATGGGAAGAGAATTGCTAATCGAATCAACAACTAGACGAGACAAATGATCAGCGACTACATTCGCAGAGCCTTTCTTATCACGGATTTCAAGGTCAAATTCCTGAAGGAGTAAGATCCATCAAATCAACCTAGGTTTGGCATCTTTCTTGGAGAGAAGATACCTCAACACAGCATGATCGGTATAAATGATGACCTTAAATCCTATCAAATAAGAGCTAAATTTGTCAAAGAAGAATACTACCGCTAACAATTCTTTCTCAGTGGTTGAGTAATTCAATTGGGCATCATTCAGGGTCTTACTAGCATAGTAGATGACATAGGGTGCTTTATCAACTCTTTGCCCTAAAACAGCCCCGATTGCATAATCTGACGCATCACACATGATCTCAAAAGGTAGGTTCGAATTAGGTGACCGGATTATGGGCGCAGTAGTGAGGGCGGATTTTAATTGCTCAAAAGCAGAGTGACAAGCATCGGTAAACTCAAATGGGGCATCCTTAGCGAGAAGATGGGTCAAAGATCATGCTATCTTATTGAAGTCTTTGATGAAACGCCTATAGAAACCAGCATGACCTAGGAAAGCTCAAATGTTCCGGACAGTTTTGGGAATGGGTAAATTGGAGATAAGATCAATTTTTGCTTTATCTACCTTGATTCCGGCACTAGAGACGGTATGACCTAGGACAATTCCTTTTTGGACCATGAAATGACATTTTTCCCAATTAAGAACGAGGATAGTATCATGACAATGCTGAAGCACGAGAGTAAGATGGTGCAGACATTGTTCAAATGATGAGCCAAAGACAGAGAAATCATCTATAAAAATTTCTAGAAACTTATCAACCATGTTACTAAAGATACTCATCATGTACCGCTGGAATGTAGCGGGTGCATTGCATAAGCCAAATGGCATACGACGATAAGCGAATGTACCAAATGGGCAGGTGAAAGTGGTTTTGTGTTGGTTATCAAGGTGGACAGAGATTTGATTATAGCCAGAATAACCATCTAAGAAGCAATAGAATGACTGACCGGCCAATTTCTCTAACATTTAGTCAATAAATGGTAGAGGAAAATGATCCTTCCTAGTTACACTATTGAGTTTTCGATAGTCGATGCAAACTCGCCATCCTATTTGGACACGGGTAGGAACTAACTCATTACGATCATTGGAAACGATAGTAATGCCGGACTTCTTAGGAACCACTTAGACGGACTTACCCACTGGCTATCAGAGATTGGATATATGATACCGGCATCAAAGAGTTTGATAACTTCAGTACGGATAACTTCTTTCAAGTTAGGATTCAGTCTCCTCTGGGGTTGCCAACAGGTTTTAGCATTATTCTCCAAATGAATATGATGTTACACTACTAAAGGACTAATGCCTTTGATATCATCAATAGACCAACCTATGGCTTTTTTATTCACCCTAAGCACCTCAAGTAGCTGGGTCTCCTGGTTGTGGGTTAGGTTAGAGGCTATCACCATAGGAAAAGTATCAGATTCACCTAGGTAAGAGTATTTTAAAGTCTCAGGGAGAGGCTTTAATTCGACCTTAGGGGACCCTTTCACTGTTTCAGATTTAAGGTTATTTAGTGAAGACAATGATTCAAAATGGAGTCGGTACTTGGGTGTGTCAAAGATTGGAGTGGAATCTAATAAGACATTAACTTCACCAATATAATTATCCTCATCAAAATCAGTACCAAAATGTGCTAGACACTGGTGGAGTGGATCCTCAGGGTAGGATTGTTCAAAGGTTTTAGCGGTCAACGACTCAACGAGACAAACTTCTTCAATAGAATCTGAGTCGGGGGGTTGTTTCATCGAACTAAACGCATTCACTTCCACTTTCATTTTTCCAAAGGTTAAGGCCATGTTCCCATTTCTACAATTGATCAATACATTGGCGGTAGCTCAGAATAGTCGACCTAAAATGATGGGAATCTTTTTACCTTGAGTAGGTTGGGTGTCTAGAACAATGAAGTCAATTGGATAATAAAAATCTACCACTTTGACAATCACATCCTCAATGATACCCCTTGGAATCTTAACTGATTGATCAGCTAATTGGATTCTAACATCGGTTTTCCTCAATTTGTTTAATCCTAACTTTTGGTACACAAAATAAGGTAATAAGTGCACACTAGCACCTAAATCCAACAGGGCTTGGTCAGCAAAATTTTCGCCAATCCTACAAGTGATAGTCGGACTACTAGGGTCTTTATGTTTGACCACAGCTTGGTTTTGGAGGAATGAGGAACAATGTTGGGCGATGAATGCTTCCTTCGGGATGTTGGTTTTCCTCTTGACTAAGTCTTTGATAAACTTTGCATAAGAAGGAATTTGTTTAATGGCAGTGAGAAATGGAATATTAATCTGAAGATTTTGAAAAATTTCTGAGATCTCACTGTATTGCGAATCCTTTTTATTGTTAACCAGTCAGGAAGGGAAAGGTGCAGGTGGAACATATGGTGGAAGAGTAGGATTATCAATTTAAGAATCTTGGTCCTTTTTAGCTTATGGAGGATTTGATGGACGAGACTCTGATGGTTCAGGTTCATGTTGGGTGGGTAGCTCAACCTTATTATCAAGTTATTTCCCTGACCTAAGTGCAATGATGGAATTCATATTGCCATTTGATTGGTCAGTGGAAGAGGAAGTTTCAATGTGATGAACCCCTTTAGCTTAAAGGTTTATTTCAGGTTGGCTAAGCAATGTACCTCTTTGTCGTTCAGACAAAACTGAAGTGAGTTGACTCAACTGATTTCGCATGAACTGTTGGAATTGCAGTTAGTTCTGAGTCAAAAAGTCATAGTGACTTTCTAGCTTTTGAATTCTCTGATTAGAGTGTTTATTTGATTGGTCGAGATTAAGGGCAAGCATCTTCAGAGTGTCCTCATAGTTGGAAACATGTTGGTTCTGTGGGATAGGAGGAACATAATTGCTCATAGGACAAGTGCGAGATCACGATTGTTACTCAACTGGGTGTTCGGTGGGAAATAACTTTAAGGAACGAGCAAACCTTGAGATTGGGGTTGTCTATTGGAATTACCTTGGAAACTGGGTTGACCACCTAAGTTTTGGGTAGGCAAATTTTATCGCCAAGAAAAATTAGGATGGTTTCTAGTATCAGGATGGTAAGTTTGGCTAAAGGTATTAGCCGTCGGTCTCCTATAGGTATTAAAGGCACACACTTGAGCATCAGAAGGTTCAGAGGTAGAATAGACAGGACCTGCTTTAGTAGGATGAGATGAACTAGAACACACATTGCATTGCGCATTTATGGACATGAGTGCAAAAGCATCAAATTTTTTGGTTAAGTCTTTTACTCCTTTAGTTAGATTGTGCATCATAGATTTTAATTCATTTTCAGGTTTGACCTTATACCAAGAAGATGTTTTATTGGTTTGGTCATTCCTAGAAAATTCATCAGTATTCGAATTCCAATTTTGGGCATTCTCAGCTAGTTCCTCTAAGAATATGTAGGCTTGGTCAGGGGTTTGGGCCTTGAATTTACCTTGGTGCATAGACTTGATCATAGTTCGGTTCATAGGTGAAAGCCCCTTATAGAAAAATTGAACTAGCTGGGCTTTATCAAAGCCATGGTATGGGCATTTAAGAATTAAATCATGAAAACACTCCCAAGTTTGGTGAAATTGTTCCTCATTTTTCCTCTAAAATTGCTTATGGAATCTCTCAATGACTATATCTTTTGCATAGGGTAAAATTTGTTCATGAATTTTTTTGCAAGTTCATCCCATGAACTAATAAAATTTGGAGAAATGGAGTTTAACCATGAGGTAGCCTTATCTTCTAGGGATAGAGGAGACGCAATTTGACACCTTCTTCATTCAAATTCTGGTTTTTGAAAGTGTTGCAAATAGTTAAGAACTTTCCTAAATGGATATAGGGTTGCTCACTTTCAAAGCCATGAAATTTGGGTAAAAGGTGGATCGTAGCAGGTCTAATCTCAAACTGGGGTGCTTCAGTTGCAGGGAGAACTATGCAATTGGGTGGGTTGGCTGTGATGGGTGTAAAGTAATCATTCAAAGTCTTAGATTCAGCCATTGGAAATTGATGGGTGGTTGAAGAGAGCAGGAGGGGTTTCTCTAACTTAAAGAGTGAAGGATCACTAGAACAACGGATTAAACGTTTGTTAACCCGCAACCACTTGGGCATAAACACACTAGACAATTAAGGTTACACGGGACAGAACACACAGACCACACAAAAAAATTTTGGCTTTTTATCTTGAGCTTAAATTCAAGGGTAATGAATTTTTAAATCTAATCGTAAAAAGAATTAATAGGATGATATCCAAATTAAATCTACCTAATTAGACAACTCCTACTCCTTTCCAGAATTAAGTTGAGAGATTACCAGTTAAGGACCATCAAACTAACAACGGAGTAGTTCCCAGGAAAGAATGGAGTGTGTGAAGTTTCTTCACTTTTTTTTTTTTTTTTAAGATAAAAAAATAAATAAAATAAAATAAAAATAAAAAATTAAATGGAAGAAAGTGTGAAACTAGGATTATTTCTAAGTTATTCTATCCTAGAGTTCACATGCAAAACTTAATAACCTAAAAAAAACTATATTTTCCTAATCTAAAAATAAATAAAAAATTAAAAGAAACCGCTTACGGGAATTGCATGAAATACTTATCTGGAAGACAAAACAATTGTTTGTCGTGTCTCCACGCGCTCCAATAAGAATATCCAAGTGTTGAATGCTCCCAAATTAGTCCTCTGAATCAACAATCTGTATTTTTTTATTATTATTGTTTATTTATTTATTTTTTTTCAAACTAGTTTATTGAATGAACCAGGTTATGAACAACTGGGTTAGTTCTGTACGGATTCCAGAATTGGGATAGTGATGTGTCCGTAAGCAAACAAGCCAAATATGGTACTATATATATATATTTAGATACACCCAATTGTAGCAACACAAATTGCCGCTAAATACCCAACAATGACAAGAGAAACTCCTTGCGATGACAGAGGCGCCTCCACGTCAGCGAGGAAGAAAGCTTCAAGACGGCAATGGCTGTGATTGGATCGGCAACCAGAGAGTATTCGGACACCGACGAAGCTACGATGGCTGAACGGCGATGCTTGCGGAGTGATTCCGGCGACAAATATGGGACTGAAATGGAGTACAAACAGGCCCTGTTCGCTTCTCCTTCGTTTTTCGTTCTTTAATGCTTAGCTGCAACACCCACTGAGAGAAAAGGCTTCATCACGAGGGAAGCTTCAATATATAGAATAAAATACTAAGCAATAAGCAAAAAATGAAGGACAAGGCAGTTTGAATTTGTATACGGCAGTTTGACTTTGTAGTTTTTTTTTTTTTTTTTTTTTTTTTTTTCTTCAA